TCACAGGTTTGGTCAGAGGATGAAGACTCTGAACTGCCAGTTTCAGGTTTGGTCAGAGGATGTGTTATCTCCTCGTGGTTGTGAGCTATCCTGACCCTCTGTAATGTGCAGGTGGCTGCTTCTGTCTCAGTCTTCCCTTGGTTTCTACCTGCTGTTGCTTGGCTTCTGTTTGCCACACCCTAATTAAAGACTTTGGGGATTTGTAAATACTTGACTGCAAAGGATTTACAATGGGAAGTGTAGGGTGGAGATAGGCAATAGGGTTGGTACAGCTCTGGGATAATGTATTGCTACAAGTTGGGTGTAGTAATTATAATACTTTATCGAGTTGTGCTGATTCTGCATTTCATGTTTTGCATTTGAATTCCTACCACGTAAATTTAGGGGTATTAACTTGCCTGATTAGAAAGTTTGCTCCGTTACACATTTTAAATGTAAATAATCCTGTAGTGCTGTGTAATTTCTTGCCTGCATATGTAGCAATAGATATCTTTGCCTTGACAGATCTAAAACGTAGTTAGTAATGATAAAGCACCCTGAGATACTTGATGGTGTGTGAATTAAAGAAGGGAAATCATTGCTTAATTCAGTATTGTATAAAGTATATTGGAGTTATAGGTCAGTGCTTAATCTTGAGGCATTTTTGTTGTTGTTGTTGTTTGTTTTTTTTAATGCTGGTTTAGAAAAATACACGTTGTAAACTCCTGGATGTCCTCATTTTGAATGTATGAATTGTTTAAAGACAAAGACAGCGTGGGAGTCATATTGGTCTTGCAATCTTTTGGTCTTGCAGTCTTTATCAACTAGATTGTTTGTTCACTGTTGTACATTACTGCAACCTTCTCAGCCTTTCTTTATCCCCAAGTCTTCTATTTTAAAAGCTGCTTCTCATTTTGCAACCACTGGTACGTACACCTGCGTCCCTTTAAAATTGTATTTCTTCTCCACATGCTTTTCAAGCTTTCCCTTGCATATGGCTTTTCCAGGAGCTTTTGGGGTTTATATTGCTTTGTTGTCTGAGTCAGAGCACCACATTCTTGCCTATGTTGTTCTGGCCATGTATCTGCCAAGTTTGCTATCTGCAGCGAACCTGGTGAAGAACACACCAAGAGTGAAACGCTCACCTACAGCATTCCTCGCTGGGCAAGCTGGAGCTCACCATCCTAAGTCAGTCAAGATCTATCTCAAATATTGTTGTCATTTTTTGTGCTGAAAAGATGTAGCTATGTCAAGTCAGTCCCTGGAGCTAGTACTTTCAGTTGAGAATGACTCCCTCTGCAATATGTCTATTCTGAACACAAAGACAGACATACCAGGTAATTTCAGACTGCTGGGACCCGAGTGGGAGGGGAACATCACCCTCAGAGCCATCCTCTTGTATTTGGGGCTATTTTGAGGTGAATCTCTTTGTCCTTGAGTGTGCCCATTGCTCTGCTTCAGAGTTTGTCCGTCCCTGGTGTGTCTAGACATGCTTATGGTCTCTTGGTCAGGTATGCCGAGGTACGTGTCCTCCAGATCCTCTTTTGCTGCTTCACTCAGTGAGATCGGCTATGGCACTTGTTAGTCCTTGGCCTGTGTCCGGCTGAGGCAGGTTCGGTGCCAAGACTTCTGCATTTCTCAGTGCAGAGCTCCAGGAGATTGCGTCTCACTCTTGGCCTTCCCACTTCCCTTGGGACAAACTGCTTTGTGTTGTGTGGTTTTACATTTGACTGCACTGCAGCTGACCCAGTGGTTTCCATCTCTGTCAGTGATCTGGCTTCCTGAGTTTCACTGTGCTCTCAATCTTGAGGTTGGCAAGATTTACAAACCACAATTTTAGATTTTCTTAAATTAATGGGTTAAGGTAATTGAAAAAAAGTATTAAGTAACGTGACTTCAATACTGTTGCTTTATCAAACAGTTTTATTATTTCCAAATAAAGCAAACAAGTAACTATCTAATCTATTTTGTGGTAGAGATTGTTTCCTTTAATCTGTGAAATTTTAAGATACTTTTTGGTACATAATGCTTTCTTTGATTATACTTAAGGTGAAAAACATTGGCGGTCAGCTACTGTTCTCGCTTTAACTTTGCCTCGTCCAGTTCTTTTATCCCATGTACAATGATATCCTAGAGGTTTTTAACTTGCGAGTTTTGCTGATTGTTGTGAACTATTAAGTACTTTTGTTTCGGTATCTAAATATGACTTTTTCCTTGTCCTGTTGGCTTTTCCCTATTTCTGTGTCAATAAAAATATTTTTACCTGTGGTCAGTACAAGCTTTCAATGTTTCCCCAGCCATTCACTCTTTCTTTGCAACTTCGGTGTATTTTTTTGTGACAAGCTATTATGACACACACTTTTGGGTACTTAATTTCTGTCAGACTTTGTGGGAGTCTCTTGTGGAGCTCGTTTGTTTAGCTTAAATTAAAAGTGCTTTGCCATCAAGTGTCTTGTCATCACGCTTTTCCTGATTCTTGGCAGTCATTAGTAGTGCTGTGAAGAAACTGATACCACTGATAGAGGTTGAGATGATAAACTGCTCTAGCTGATAACATCAGCATTGCGTTTACAGTTTTTGCCATATTTTTGCCAGTGCTTCTCTTACACATTTCTGAAAAGATTTTTTTTTTCTAAAAAACATAGCAATGTATTGTGCATTTTTCACTTCTAAATATTATATATTTGAAGACTCACTCAAAGCAATTGGCTGCTACTTTGTTTCCCATCTGTGAACAGTTCTTGTGCTTTGGAGATCCTGATTCCTGACATTCCCTCTTACCAAATGTCTTCCAATTTATTCTTAGTATTTCAGTATTGATGTCCCAGAGCTGAAACTAAACATTTGCTTCCTAGAGGATATCAGGACCGTGCTTGTTTGATTGTCACATTACCTGCACAGTTTTACTTTTGGAAGTTGTACTAAGCTTTCTGAATGCTCTCTAAAAATCTTATTGAAACTTTGGCGTTCTGATAGCTTTCATCAAAACTTGCTCTTCTTGCCCTCTGAGTCCACTTCTTTTGACTGCTCTTTACTTGGGTTATTATCTTTTAGGAAAGGTGAATTTTCTGCTGAAAATATAAACCAGCAAATATGGCTGATAGTGTGTCCAGAAGAGGAAGCATCAGACAGGAATAGATCCATGCCAACACAAGATCCCTCAGCCAGGTTTTGTTTCCAGTACAGCTTATCCAGTGACATCAGACAGCTGGAAAATTCTGAAACCACCGAAAAAGGAAAGGTGAAGGTAACATCTGGTAGGATAAACTGCTGGCTGGTGCATTTGGCTTCATCCCGCTTCTAACCCTGGTGATTTGATTCCAGTTAAATCTGACCCATGTTCTGAAAGAGGTGAATTCATTCCATGGTGTCAAAATACTGCATCAAGTACAAAATATCTCAAACTAAGCAATGGAATATTGACCAAAGAGATAAGCAATGAATATGATTGTATTTAGTCCATTCATGAAATTTATGTAATTCAGTATTTCTTCTGACTTTGTTGTCTGCACAAAACTAATTTTCCTCCATTTTTTTTTCAAAATTTTAAACTTGATATTTTGATTTGAAGAAACAATTTTTTCCGATTTTATGTTTTGCTGATTTCAGCCTCATAGTGGGCAGTTGTACCTGACTTGCACTGGTTTTAGCAAAGCCGTGGACCCCACCTCAGCCCTCTTCCCACACATGCTACCCATAATATCTTGTTAGTTTTGCACAGATACGGTCATAAAAAAAATACGTTTCCATGCTGTCTTCACTGTACAATGCAGGCATGTAGGTACCTACAAGAGCTGCAAAGTTTGGCCAGATAAAGAGGATGGATTGACATCACTGAGTCACGTTACTTCCTTAATGTTGCCAGCTTTGCAAAATACTGCATTTATGCGTGCATTGGAGGGCAGGGTGATTTCTTGTTCAGACTTGTACTTCATTTTTAATGAAGACGCTTTCTCTTTGCAATGCGAGATAGGATCCTCCAATAACTGACACACAGTGCTTTCCCCTGTCTGTGTTTCAAACTAGGTGGGAATCCCTTCGTTATCAGAGGACAGATTTTCAATGTGTACTGTAAACTTATTGATAGCTGGTAGTAATAGCCATGATTCTGAAAAAAATTGTACAAAATAAACCAAGGCAAATGAAGCCTTCAATTGGGTTATGTACTGAAAAAATATAATTATATATATTTAATTAATGTTTAAATAAACAAAATTTAATATTCTGATTTTTTTTAGTATTTAATTGCAATGTGAGGTTTTAAGCACTATCCCCATTTCATTAATCATCATTTGATAAAACTGTTATTTTTTCCATTTACTGGAAAAAAGGTTTGACTGAACACTCAAGGCCAATTTTCCAGAAATTACATGTAACAATTTTGTCTTCTAATTGCACGTTTAGTCTGCAACTACTGCTGGTTTTGCCTGTGTGAACTGTGTGTACTGGCAGGCAAATCTGAATTTACAACTACATTTAAAGATAAGTCAAATAGTATTTGTGACTAAAGCGCCTAGGAAATCTAACCTATTGTAGCTGGCATGTAACGATCATGATCTGAATTCAGCTATTCTGAGATGAACAGCTATGTGTGTGTTTAAAGTTCTCAAGGTGCATGAAACTGACTTTCACTCATCTCATATCCACTGGTCAACAAGGGCTCGCACCTGCTGTCACTCCAATCCAGCTCTCCCAATACACACCAGCAGTTCCCTGACACAAGCTTCAGGACACACACCTGGAGTACAAGCAATTCCACATTTCCATACTGTGGCTTGCTGTAACCAGCTAGGTATGCTTTTGGTCAGGGATCAGCTTGCTGTGCCTCAGTATGGGAAATGTATAGGGTGCAGGAAAAGGGCAGGCAGTGATAAAGAGGGAGGGACAGAGGGAGGGAAAGGAACCGAGACTTTACAGAATTCAGTCTGCAGAGACAACTGGTGGAACAAGAAGGAAGGTCATCTTTTCCAAGCTCCAGTACCTTCTTTTTGACAGAGACAAGCTGATAAATCAGCTCTGAAATGCTGACAATAACTCAAGCTTTTGTAGTCCTGATAATTGTTTTGTTAATTGTCGAGTTTTTCAGACTGCAAAAGGCATGCAAGGAACTCCCTCCTGGACCAACTCCTCTCCCATTGTTTGGAAGCTTGGTGCACATGAACTTTCAGTTTCATCGGGATCTTCTGATGGAGGTATTTCTTTTAAGATGCTCTTAATTGCTTAATTTTAGTCACAGCTTAAACAAAACTGATGTGTTAATAGCAAAGTGAAGTTTTTAAGTCTTAGAAAGTTACAAAGTATGGACATATAAGGATCAACCTGATTCCTACATTCACGTTGCCTTCTTATGAGGAATGTGTTATCTTCAGGAAAAACTTAATGTCCTTAAGAATCAAATAAACTTGGGGACAGGGTTTCTGATTTGTTATTAAAGTTGAAAAATACCAATAATCAAAAAGATGCTTCTCCATTGCTGATAAGTCCCTATGTGTTACTTTTGAAAATTCTGATGTGCTGGCATTGTCTAATTTGATCACAAAGCAGGTAATATGTTGTGTGTGTGTGTGTGCTTGTAATACAGAAAGGGCATACACTCCTCATCTTCCAACACCTCCTTAAAACTATTTGTTTTCCACTTGTTTCTAATTTAGAGACAGCTGCTCCTCCCCAGGCCATCTCAGTCCTCCCTGTACCCTGGAAGTGATTCTTCCAACAGCTTGCAGATGACCTCTAATTCACAACTAGGCTTGAGACAGTGGGCACAGATGGTTGAGCGCAGTGCAGACTTGGGCAGGCAGTGATGCTTTCAGGAAAGCCAGTATCTACAGAATTATAAGGAGAAGCGGGTGACTAGTGTGATCAATCGGATGTAATTCTGGTGGCACCTCAGACACTGTTTACCACCTCTTTTGTGTCATTGTGGGCGTGTTGGAGCAGAGTCCCATTCTTGGACAAAGCTTTTTCCACAAGTGATTGAATTTCCTCTGTCATCCATCTCTCCCTGCTTGGATACCTCTGCTATCTCCAACAGTCAGTGCTCTCCTCAGTACTGTGAGGAAACCCTGGACCCAGCTGCATCCCACTAGCACTTCACAGCTGTTGAGTATGTTCTGGCTCCACCTTCTCTCCTGGAGCACATAGACAGAGCAAGTTTAATCAGCTGCTTCCTTTTCGCAAAGGAAGGGGTAGCTGGAGGCGTAGAGCCCCAGAGAGGTGCAGAGGGTGTCTGTTCAGTTAATGAGGTACGCGTGTTGGAGTTGGATGGGCTGCAACATAAAATACAGTTTCCTTTCTCTTGCTGCAGCCTGTGCTGTGAAAACTAAATCACTTCCCCACCTTCCCCACCACCACGTAAATAAAATTGGCTGCTGAAAGCCTCATTCCCAGAAAACCAACGGTCTCTTTCTGCTTCTAGCTATAATTATATTCACGGGGAAGACATTCTTAGCACAAAACTGGCCATTGGGCTGGTGAATAGCAGGTGTAGTGTCTGCTTGAGATGTATGGGATTTCATCTGTTCTTTTCTGGCACCTTTTCCACTTACAGCTGGCAAAAATTCATGGCAACATATTCACCTTATGGTTTGGATGGACCCCAGTGATCATACTGAATGGATATAAAGCAGTGAAGGATGGCATGACCACGCACCCTGAAGATGTTTCTGGGAGGATGTTGGCTCCTTTCTTCAGAGAAATGGCCAAAGGAAAAGGTGAGAACTTCCTGCCGTAACGAGCGTACAGGAATGTTGACTTAGCAACCTACTCTGTCTTGTTACATCTTCTGTCCTGCGGTTCAGAGTGCTCTTCCAATCAGATACCTCTTGAGAATAACTTACTCTTTGCCATGATGCCTTTTATACTGAGCATTTTCCAAGCCTAGGAAACACTCCAAATCAGGTTGTTTCTAGGTGACCTTTTTGCTGTGTTCAAGATGTATGTGATCCCAGCTCAGAACTCAGCTATCTTGCCCTCCTCACAGAATAATCCAATTTGCTGAACATGATTTTGCTGTACACTACACGAATGCAAAGCTTCTTTATATGTTTGGTAACCACATATATTATGGTTGCCAAACACCTTCTATCATGAGCAAGAGACCTATAACACCCTCCTTCAGAAGTCTACGTTTGAGCCACACTTAAATGTTTGGTGAATACCCTTTGATTGTGAGAGTGCCTCTAACACACAAAAACCCACTTCTCCTTACTGTATTTCAGCAGTTTGCAGTCTTTTCTTTTTCCTCCCCTGCATTTGACATACCAAAGCAAACACAGATTGCTTAAAGCGAGGTAAAGCATCACCATCACAGCAGCAGTTCAGGGTTCTTCAGGTAACCACTAGTGCAATTTAACAATCAATGGAGTGGTCTCCCTTCTAGATGAGAAACAGGGCCCAAATGTCACTTATTCTTCACCTTCATCACCTCAAACTATATCTCCATAAACGTACCCTGGCCCCCTACATTACTCTGTAGAAATTCATCCCGTTATTCCTGCCTTGAGCATGATCACTTGAGTATGGCTAAAGTAGATCTTCTGAAAAGGCATCTTAAGGTTTGGAGGTTTTTTAGACACCAAGAAATGGAGCAGTGAGCAAATCTTTGGATTGCTTTTTTCACAGAATAACTACAACCAATATTAAGAACATGTGGTCTAGTTATAGTTTGGGTATGTTTGGCTGTGATTTCTTGTTACTGATAATTTCACCTAAAGATACTTGTATCACATTGTATTCCCTGATTTACTCCATGTATTTTATAATGTATTTTTTAAATTAATCGTTCATGTCTATGGCAAATATTAATAATGCCAGAGAATGCCCTCAGGTGTTATACTGGCAAATGGTCACTCCTGGAAGCAGCAGAGACGCTTTTGTATAATGACTCTTCGCAGTCTGGGAATGGGGAAAAAAGTCCTGGAGTATCGCGTGCAAGAGGAGGCCTCTCACCTGGTGGAGTTCTTTGCCAACCTGAAAGGTATCTATCTGCTAAGTAATCAGATGCTTTTCAGTCCTGGATCTGTATATTCAGTGTGCAAAAACTTACCTACCCCTTTCTAGGGTCAGGGTAGGTCCAAAGTGGTGTATCCAAACTTACCAAAGCCCAAAAAGCAGACAGAGCATAGTGTCACAAGGAGGACTTTCTTTCTTAAAAAGCTGTTCATAAACTTAGTGAAGTTAGGAACTCCTGAAACTCCACTCCATGGGCTTATCATTTGTCTGTGATTTGATTGTACAATGATATGATGTCACTGAACAGCACTGCCAAGCCATTCTCAGACTGCCTACAATAGGTAACTAAAGAGTATTGCATAGCGTAGTCATTTCTCTAAATTTCAATTACATTAGGTGCTATGCGGTAAACTGGATATTTTAGTGTCTGCCTGGCTAAGTAACTATTGGCAAGAGAATCAGAGAAAGTAGGAGGTGGGAGGGAACTCATTCTAGAGTCCAAGCCAGGATCATTTCTATCCAAATCATTTTTTATGAATGTCTGTCTCATAATTTTTAAAAAATCATCAGATATGATGATCTACTCTCCACAGCTGAGTGTAATAATTTTACTATGTATACTTTGCAGTTTCTATCCATCTGTTCTTCCTCTTAAACCTTCCTGAGTTTCTTCAGTCTTTCCCCCTAAGTAGTTTTTTACATTTTTGAACATGCCTGTCACTGTCTTCCCTTAGTTCATCTCCAGTGACACATTTCTTCCTTCTCACATTCTGACCTGTCTTCTTCCACACAACTGAGGACAGCAGATTTGATACGATATCCTCTAATGGATCTTAGTTGTACAACGTTATTTCACAGGAAGGGCTATAAGATTGTTTTAGAGCTATGAGTTTAACATTTTAACAGTGTCCTTTACTCTAAGACTATGTTTTGTTTTCATGAATACATATTAGTGCCACATCTCTATCCCCATTCATGCCCCAGCTGGATAAAGAGAATATTTTATGTAATCTCTAACAACATCTTGTCCTATCTGTGTAAGGAACACCTGAAGAAAATATTGAGAGTGAATACCAGTTACTGTGTTTGCAGGAAGACCTGTGGATCCTTATTTCCGTCTTTTCCACTCTATTTCAAATGTAATTTGTGCTCTGGTTTTTGGATATCACTTCTCTGATGAGGACAAAACCTTCCATGAACTGCTCAGTGCCACAGAGACCTTATTCAAATTTTTAGGCAGCTTTCTTCACCAGGTAAGTAAATAATATGCTATTTTTTTTTTCAAAATAGGTAAAAAAAAAAAAAGTGTGCATACAAAAATGTGTCTTCACTAAATACAGAGCAACTGGCAAATGCAAACTGGGAGCTAAGAGGTATCCTTGGGGACCTTATTACTGCCACCTTCGTTTTGAGGCCATTTTTGAGACCTCTTTTTTCTTTGCAAGTGTAGTGGACATCTCTCTGTTGACTCATGGCTTTAAGTCTTTCAACATTTCTGAGACTGTTAACAGAAACCTTTAAACTTAATTTGAGACTGGAGTTTGTAATAAATTTGAGCTCTGGAATGCTGCTTCTCCCACCTGTATTTACTTCTCAAAAATGAGTTTCATTGAATTCACTGTTCTGTTTTTACTACCCTGCAAATTGTAAGCGGACAATTTTCCTTTTTTTCCTCCTTCACAGATAATAAAATATTCGTTTTATTCTTTCCATTACTTCATTATAGCTCACAATTCACACATTACAAAAACTATACATACATTCTCTGACAGTCTCAAAATTCAAGTTCTGTCCGAGATTTTTTGGTAGGAACCTCCCATAACATAAAGACCAACTTCACGCTTGAATTTTCCCCCATGAATTAGAGTTGTGGTTTAGACTCTTAAAGAGGGACAAGCTGGGTGTAATGGGGACTGTGGATGGCATAGCAAATTCCATTGACATTTGAATTTTATAGGAAAAGGTAAACTAAAATGCTGATGTGGTAGTAAACCTTTTCAATAAATCTGTCATATAAGGGTAGTACTATAAAATTTTCCCATAGTGAAAAATAGAAAAAATAGACGAAATTTGTGAACGATCAAAGCCAGGAGGCCTACACAATACAGAGGAGGTTCAGGATATCCTGCTGCAAGAGCTCGTAAGCACTGTGGATTGAGTTATAAGAATGGAACAAATTGTAATAGTACAAAATTAAATTATGAAACATATTAGGAGTTAGAGCTTAACATCCGCTGTGAGCTTAGAACATTTCAGTGCAAAGGTTAAGAGGAAAGAAACTGATGTAAACTAGTAGATAACAGGATAAAAAAGACAAACTCCAATTGCGTAAGGTCTTCTAGTGATCTGCATTAGTCAAGTCAACTTACTGTCATGAGCAGAGCGTTGTCAGTACTGTCTTGACCCCCAGAAGTGTGTCAAAATTTCTAGTAAGGTTTTCCCACATAATGGCAAAAATCTACTCAAAGCAATACTAATTTGTTTATTCCACTATCAACATTTCCAGAAAGGACAATTCAGCCTGCTGGTGTATCTAAAAGCAGCTTTGTTACTGGCAGATAATTCACACTACCTCTTGTATGTCACTCCTGCAGTTGTACGACATCTTACCCTGGCTGATGTGCTGTATCCCTGGTCCTCATAAGAAAGTACTATCTTGCTATGATGTCCTGAGCTCTTTTGCAAGGAAGGAGGTCAGAAGACATGTGGAGAGAGGGATACCAGACGAACCACAGGATTTCATTGACTTTTACCTGGCTGAGGTGGAGAAAGTAAGTGTTCATTATTCCTCATCACACACCTATGGAGTATAAGGACAAATAGACCATTAAATCATCCAGTCTGACCCCTTCTATTATGATTTCTTACATTTCATGGGCTTCTTAATGTGAATACAGTAGCTTGGGACTTATGAACTCGTGCTGTTAATATCAGAAAGTGCAGTCACTTAAACAGCTGAAAAACAAAATCACTGAATGGAGAATTTGTTGTGTTCTAGCTTAAACCAGGACAAGGGCCTAAAACAATTTCACAAACAGTGCCATGACAAGCTGTTATTCTTCTTCCCTGCCCAAGCTAGTCCTTTCCATAGCAGGATGCGACTCAGGAGCCAGAGAGGCTCTGCTAGAGCACCAGAGTTTCTGCTTCAAACTTAGTAATTTTGGGATACTTCTGGGAGCTAAAAGAAGGATCTCTTTCCTAGGGTAGGTGAAGTTCATGTAGCTTCTACCTCTGGTCATAAGCTTTCAGCTAGTCAGGCTGCCATGTTCTCACAGGGCTGGCTCATGGGCTCTGGAAGGAGTTGGTATATCCTCCTGTACATTATATCTGAATAAGTATGATAAAATTTACTAAACCAAGCATTTTATAGGCAAAGATGCAGCTTTCTCTGGTCTCAGGGATGCAAGTTATTCCAATCTGTTTATTTTAAAATGTTTTTGCCTAATGTATTTTCTCTAATTGTTTTTGCATTTTACTCCTTTACTATAAGAAGAAAATACTTGGGTACCTCTCTCCCACCAGTTCACATCTATCCTGAACTGAGAGAAGAAATTACTCTCAAGATGTTCTGTTGAGATCCTTTTATTCAGATAGGTTTTCCTTTGGTATTTGCTAGCACCATTTGATAACACACTGGAGAGAATAAGGCCAAACGGGTGACACATTGTGAGACACTTGTTTAGAAGTACACTCTAGGCTAAGCGCAAAACTTTCCATGATTTTTTTTTGTGCTTTTCATGATTAAGCTCATTTTTAAATGAAAGAATATTCTACCTCGTGAAAAACAACGAGGACTTAGCACGTCCATTTGGGAAACTATTAATCTTTTAGTAATCATCAAAAACGGTAGTTTTGAATATTCTTTGTGCACGTGCCAGCTGCAGAAAAAAGGACTCTCACACCGGGGGGATACAGGATGACCTAACTTTTATGCTTTAACTTCAACTTTTTATCATCATCTACAGTCTAAAGATGGGGTCAAGCCCAAGTATGATGAAGACAACTTGGTATATCTTATAAATGATCTTTTCCTCGGTGGATCAGAGACCTCAAGCACAACACTGTACTGGGGACTGCTCTATATGGTAGTGAATCCAGAAATCCAAGGTGAGAGGGATTCTTTCTGTGAAATATGTGGGTGCTACAAATGGTAATGATGGCTGAATGTAACAAGTTGCAGGCACAAAAGCCACTAGTTGAACTTGTCTCTCACTCTCCGAAAACACAAAGAATGGCAGCCTTGGAAAAAATCAGAGGCTCATCCTATGACCTGGCCAAACCAGGTGGCTAAAGGCACTTACAGTGAGACAAAAGTTAGGGCTTTGCAGTGACAAGTTAGTGAGGTGCTCTCTGTGGAGAGTTTGCAGGCTGACTGGTGGCGGCAGGAACAGAGATCAGAGCTCTAACATGAGTCCTGTCTGCATCAGACATTGTCCGGGTATGAGGAGTGCTAACACAGCTTTGCTGTATTTGCCATGTAGTCAGCCTACACTCTCTTCACCTCCTAGCGCAGCACTCCTTGCTGAGCACACCAGTACTCTGAAAAACGCACTGGATCCCTTACTGGACAAACCTGCTGGACAGATCTTGGCAGGTTATGAAGGGCTGCAGGTTGCTCTAAGCAAGGCCCATGGTCCCGGCAGAGACAGCTGCCTCTTGCTGTATCTTTCTTGTCAGGAATCAGTAGAGAGATGCAAGATAATTTGCACAGTGCAAATCCATATACTTCCTTGAAGAATGCAGTGACTCCTTTCTGTCTTTGCTGAGTGCTTCATGCACAAGGCTGGGCAGTGGGCATCCATGGGATATGGGTTGCTCATGGATGGCCTCAAGGTTTCAGTAGAGTGCATTCTGCATGTAATCAGCCAATGATGTTAGTATCTAGTCTTTAAATAACCAGTAATGTTTGTTGCAGTTTTTTCACAAAGCAGCACACAAACCTTAGGAGAAAACAAAACATGAATGTAGAATATCTGCAAGGAATGGAAAGACTGTAGAAATAGAAAGAGAAGTGTAAGGGGAAGATTCTGGCTGCCTGATGCATACAGGTGGTATTTTCAGGCAAGAACAGCTGACAGTACACACAAACCGTCCCTGTCTGAGTTAATATTGCAAAAGAAGTTGCTAACTTATTTAACACCAATTCCATGAACGCCTCTGTAGATCGAGGCTGAGTTTCCTCCTTAACTTCTATGTCAGGAAGAGAAAGGATGTGGCCAGTGTTTGAGGAGGACTCGGGAACTCCTGGGGCTGGTGGCTCTTCCATCTGCTGTGCTACAGCACGGGAAGCAAGGGATATACCTGTATTCCTGCAGCCTCAGTAGGAGGCTAAAAAGGCTGTGTCACTGAGTGCACGTTTCCATCTAAGGTTTTAGGCTGATTCAGGTGTTGTTTGTTCATACAGTACGTTGCCTTACTTGGACCAACTCTGCTCAACCCATCCCTTGCATTGGGAGTTAATATCCAAGGCATTTATGTCAATTTTGCAAATGAGATTTACATTTTGTGATAAAGTAAACTAAGCAATCCCTAAATACCTTCAAAACCTGGAGCTGAGTGACCTGCCCTACACCCACCAACCATTCTGTAAAATAGATGTCAGAGCTGGAACAAGTACAGTATAGTCCTTGCTTATGATCTGGACCACACTGTTGGTTTTTTTTTTTTTGTCTTTATATTTATTTTTGTATATTAAACTCAGTCATTAAATCATATTAAATCACAGGTTATAGACTTAATGTACTCTGTTGAAACAGCACATTTCCCTCTTGGTCTAAGAAAAGAGACCAGTTAAAATATTTTATGCATTTTTCCCATCTGAAATGGTTGACTATTTCTTCACAGAGAAGGTGCAGAAGGAGCTGGATGCTGTTTTGGGTACTTCCCAGTTAATTTCCTATGCGGATCGGAGAAAGCTGCCTTATACAAATGCTGTGGTTCATGAGATCCAACGCTTCAGCAATATTGTCTTTGTCGGCATGCCCAGATTGTGTGTGAGGAACACAACATTGCTAGGATACCCCATCAAAAAGGTACAGACATTTTCAACCTCCCTTCCTTTTTCAGCAGAGAAACATTTAACTTTTATTCCAGTTTTGTAACCTGTTTTCCATCTGTAAACTGTTCTCCATATAACCCAGGAACATGGTGCCTGGGGAAAGGTTACCATTTGTGGCTCCAGGAATAAAATAAGTCTCTCAGTCAGTGTGTTGATGCTCAGACGGTTGATAGGACCCCTGCCCTTGCCACAGAAGCCTTGAGCTCCTGCCCTGCTGATCAACAGCACAGCTGCAGAGGCCAGCTCTGCTTGGCTGGGGATGGACTGAGAGGAGAAACTGGATTGCCAAAGCACTGGTTAAAACATCCCTGCCCAACTTGGCACTGCCAGCACTCCTGGGATGCAGGAAGACTTGGGAGAGGATGGCTCATATCTCCACTGACTCCGTGAGCTAAGGGACCTGCCTGAATCTGTAACAGCTGAGAGACTGTCAGCTACAGCTGACAGTGAAGGAGTTGCTCCCAAATACTGCCTAAGACACGTATTCACAGACAGTAAGGCATTTTTAAGAGTGATATAAGCTATGCTGGGTGCCAGTTCTCACTGTAAAACACTAGCAAGAAACAAGAAACAGGAATGGGAGAGGCCAGCATCATTAGTGGCATCTGGGACTGGCCCCACCTAACTCATTTTGTGGTGAAAGTTTCACCCATTTCTGTCTGCTTCTGACAGCCAGGTAGCTAAGACACATGAACTGGTCTGCTGGGAACAGCCAGTAAAGGAAAAGCCTGAAGTACTACTGCTGAAAGGGTTCAGAGGTTGCTGTCAATGAAGTATTGCAGTTATTTCTCTCTCTCTCAAGCCTGAAAGGAGGTTTCCGATGCTGGGACCTGAATATCAACAAAAGAGTCCTCCTAGAAGTATTACTAAGATTAGTAGTAAAAGTGGTCACAATGCAGTTGTACCAACATCACTAATTCTGTTAACATCCACTCCACTGACAGCTGCAGGGCTGAGAACGGATAATTTCCTACTCAGAAAATGATCACAAACTCCAATTTTCTAGGAAAATGGTCTTCTAGCCACATCATACCTGCTCATTACAAAGAAATGGCAACAAGCAGCAGTTGTATCCGCCAGGCAGAAACTGATGGGTGAGAGGCTAGTAGCTGGAACTGAATCAGCAATTTATTCCTTATAGGGCACCCCCATTATGCCAAATATAGCATCTGTTCTGTATGACCCTGAGCAATGGGAGACACCTCGACAGTTCAACCCTGGCCATTTTCTGGATAAAGAAGGAAACTTCATACCTCGAGAAGCCTTCTTACCGTTCTCAGCAGGTAAATGCACTGGCAGTTTGAAATGACCCAACAGATTAGATGAAAAACACAGAAGTGTGAGATCATGGCATTTCTTCAGATAACATCTTCTGTCTCTGCTCTTTGCTGCTTTTAAAGAACAGTACTGGCTTGTTTCTGCCAAGGTCTGTGCTGTCAGACCCCAAAGTGTTCTTAGGACACTGTAGTGGGAATCCCACTCAAACTCCTGAGCTTCCCAGGCCTGTTACATGCTGCAGTCATCCACAGGTTTTGTCTGTAGTATTCTTTATATGTACTTTTTTTTTCCCTGAGAAGCAATGTGTCTTGTGTGTACTGGAGTTACTTGCAATCCCTTTTAAAGGAATAAGCTAAAAGAAAAGCTGCATGCATCCTGGTAAACAAAGGATTAAGTTCTTGCACATAGAACTGAAAATCCAGTTGCAAAAGAAGGAAATAAGGTAACCATGCACAGTTAGACAGTAAAGTTCCTACTCTGTTGGTTTTGTTTTAGTTTCTCTGTTGATATAGCAGACTAGTCACATAGGTGTCCATCCAGGAGTGGTTTCTTTACCACAAATTACTTTTTTTCCCCTTTTATTTGTCTGCTAATCTAGAAATGTGAATGTTTTATTCATCCGTTCTGCTCATGCCATCGGTTCCAATGAGGAACCCTTGGAAATTAACAGTAGGCTTCTTGCTTTGCCTGTAAAGTGATCCGGCCTTTGTTCAATTGCAAATGCCATTGCTAAGTAATTTTAATCCACTGATTTTACTCACTAAAAAAGCATGTGCGAACAGCTGGCAGAGTCTTTGTGTATGAGCCTGAAGCTCAACATCTCCTGTAAAAGGTTAGTAATTTTATGCCAGGTCAAGCAAGGTCAAGCAAGAAATGATGGTGGTACTTAAGGGATTTTCACTGAGATTTTAATTCGGTGTCTCCTAACCTATGACATTGGATGGAAGCTTTTTGAGAAAGAATTCACAAAGTTTTCGTTCTGTGGCTTTCATGATCCTGGCCTTGAACGAAAAAAAAACCCTCTGCTTATAACAAGTATGAAGAAAGTGATTATGAAACTGAAAACTTCCTAGATACTCACTGTCCCTCCCCTCTTCCTTCTGCAGGGCACCGTGTGTGTTTGGGGGAGCATCTAGCAAGGACCGAGCTCTTTATTTTCTTTGCCAGCCTGCTGCGGGCATTCACCTTCCGGCTCCCTGAGGGAGTGACGAAGATCAACACAGAGCCCATTTTTGGGGGCACGCTGCAGCCCCACCCGTACAGGGTTTGTGCCATTCCACGCTAGGCTGCAGCATGTCACAGACCAGCATGAGACAGCCACCTTTACCTCAGTGAATTTCCTCACAAATGTATAGACCTTCTACTAGCCAGGATATTGATATTAGTCTGTCCCAGGGCTATTCAGAAAGTGGAAGCAAGCCAAGATCCAGACTCCCAGTGCTTTTGGTCTGGTCTTTGTGAAAGTCCCAGATGTTCTCGCAAGGATCTTAGCCATTTTCCCCTCTTCAAGAGCACTTGAAGCAAGCTGCTATGGTACCCAGATGAAGCCAACATGCTGTGTCTCCTTGTCCTAGATAAGGAGAATCATCATGACGCTCACTCCTGAGCAAACCTCAGTAAAATTCAATAAAGGATCTCAGTAACAGCCGAGTAGGTGTCATTTCTGTGATGGGTTTGATGACCTCAAGTAATGTGACTCTGGAAAATGCACTTCTAAAGTCCTATTTTGTTTTTACCATCCTGAACCTAGACCCTTTAATTTGTTGACAGGTTGAAAATAAAAAAATCAAAACAACCCCAAAACAACCCCACATTAGAATGTGGGTGCATTAACGTGTGAATTTGATGTACCTCCCATGTGGAAGATAAAGAGAGTCAATATAAAGTTGATAAAATAAACTTAAATTTGGTGTTTACTAGCAATGTGAATGTGTGACTTGGCAGCCTGATCATTGTTATAACGTATTGCTAAGTGGTTTGTTCGTTAGTTGGTTTTTGTGGGTTTTTTTAACGAGGTTTCTATGATGTAGAATCACTCCCATTGTCAGGTCCGCTTAGATGAGGCATAAATGTGGGATGAGACATTCACTTTGCCAGCGGGCTTCATTGCTAACTTTGCAGCAGAGGAGTGTAGAGACTTTAGAAGGCAGTGTCTAGGGACTATCTGAACACTCAGATGTTCCCCATTTTCTCTGGGCCCTTTTCTTCTTTCATTACAACTCCTACCATTCACGTCAATCCTCCTTCCCCAGTTTCAGTTCCAATTCCCACCTACCCTTTATCCATATAAATGCTATTTCAGGATTCACCTTCCCTTTTGGTTTCCCACCGCTTACAACCTTTCATCATATCAAGCGTCTGTCTCCTTTTACTCTTTTCTGCACAAGTATTAGTAGAGGAATCAGTGCTGAGATGAAAACAATGACCAGTGAGTTTCCAGGAGGGAGCTTGGAACATCTGGTTTATTTGTTCTTCGGGGCTCCAGACCATGAAAAGAAGAACACAGTAACTGTGGAAGGTGCACTGGAGGTAACTTAGTGTAAGAAAAGACATAAGTGATGACGTGATGCAGGAATTCTGAAATATCTATTACTTAATGTAGCTGCCCACCGGCACTGATTCAAATCAACATTGAGACAGTTTAAGCAGACAGCCGGAGGTGACAGTCAAGTTCAGCTGTAGCTTTGTCAAAGGAAAGTGCTGTAGTATTGAATGCAAATCACTTTTGGAAAGGATTCAAATGTTAGAGTTGAGTAGAGCTGTCTGTAAACACTGATGTAAACTTAGGGCTGAATTTGTATGAGGACCAAAAGTGCTTTTATGTTGGAATATAAACTATTTGTAAGTAAATCGTTGCAGTACATCTGAACTTCCTGAATTTAAAATGGAGCAGAATGTTACTAAAAAGAAGTGAGGACTACTGAAAATCAGGCTGAGCTGGATCAGATCCTAGCGTGCCTTGTAGCTCTGGCAGTGGTCTGCTCCAGCACAACCCAGTATCTGCAGGCTTACTGAGCTGGAATGGAAGACAGTACAGTAAGGGGTTTCACAAAAGCAATAGCTGTCATAAATAATCCAGCCTGTTACTCCGCACAGCATGTCAAATACTGTTCCAGGGTTGACACGCTTTTCCTCAGCCTCCTTTCCAGCTTTATCTGCACTTGTCCTCCACCCTACCTTCCCACACTTCCTCTCCACTAACCCTGCTAGAGATGGTGTCTCTCACTGCCTTTGACCACTCCTTTTCTCATCTTGCCACTCACTGAAGAAGTTTAATGATGTGTGTAAAGCTGGTTGTGCTCAAGGGCTGGAACATTATGTCCATTGAGACTGCAGCTGTATCTATGTACACATATATACATATATGTATAGTACACATATAGTATATGTGTACTATAACTCAGTTCCGTTGAGATATATCTTCCCTGTGACTAGGCAGGACTCAGGAGTGGCAGAAGGTGGAAAGAACGGGTAATTCACTGCTTATTTCAGCCACTCAGGGACCCTGTCCACCAGACCCCTACCAGGCAGTACAAAGGAGCACATTTGATTTTGAAGAGTCTACTGAAAACTTGGCTGAAGGGCAGGAGACCCCCATCTCTCCCTTAGGGAGACTGAGTTTCCAGTGCTGTACAACAGCTTTGCTGTTCGTGAGCGGTGGAACCAATGTGCTGTGTGTAGCATCCTGTGTGGATTAGTCCACATGGGTCAAGCAGCTACAGCCTGTTTTCTGGGCTAGTGCCAGCACCAATTCATGCTCATGTTTTCCCATAAAGATTTGAAGAGATCTGATGGTGGAAGGCAAACAGAAACTCAGGAAAATCTGATAAAATTATCTTTGCTCTTCCTCCACTCCCTTGGGAAGCTTGAGAGTGCTTCTGGGATGGAGAACAACACTGTTTCCCCTCCCAGAGACCATTCTCCCAGTATCTGTCCAGGGTTACAGACCTCCAGCTCCTGGACTGGCTGACCTCTGGTAGTGGAGAAATTTGCAGGTTATGGGGAAAAAGGTGAAGTGATACCAGGCCAGGTGCTGGTGAGGGATGACAGCAGAGTCACCTCTGGTTGGCTCAACTGATGTCTCTAGTCCCCTGCCCGCAGCCTTTGCTGTTCCCCTCCTGCCCCTCCAAGTGCTGCTTCCTCTCCTGACCATCATCTTCTCACCACTTGGTTGCCCACAGCTTACAGCCCCCAGGCACGTGTCTGCGTTGCACCATCAAAGAGCTGTCAGATTAAAAGTTGTACACCCTGGTGCTGATGACTAGAGTGATGTAACATTTCATTTAAGTGGAGTGACTAACCCTCCACCCCATCTTGTTTTTTTATAAACAGTGTCAACCATAGCCTCAGGACTCTGAGTTGTGGTAGAAATATCATCTTTAATAATATGGTTTGGAAGGGTTGGAAATCAGGTTGCAGGTGTTTATTCCAGGGAAAGATGTGCAACTGGGTGTATCACTTTTTAAAGCATTGTGATTCCTTTGGGGAAAAGTGAGTTCACATCACAGAACTGCAGAGGTGGCTGCTTTGTTTCATATTTGCAGGAGAGTGGGAGTGTATGAATCAAAAAATCCTAATATATTTAAAGTTGATGGATATGAGAGAGACAGAGCTGCCTAACATTATATGGTGCTCAGCTCTGGTAAGGTTACAGTTAAGGAAAACATCACCAAGTTGTCTGATACCAGGATCCTCTGCTAATTTTTTCTTATGCTTTTCTTTCTGTTTCACGGTCAGGCTCTCCTGAGTGGCAATATTAGTGCCACAACCATATTGGCAGGCTGTGTGCCAAACTCCAGGGAAACTCTTTATCCTGGCAAAGGGAAAAAGCAGAAACTAGAGACAGAGAGTGCCTTGTGCAAAAGTTTGATAGATTAAGCATCTCTCCAAAGATTAAACCCAAGAGTTGATGTTTTTTCCCTTCTGGTCAAACAAGTAGTTTGGGAAAATGGTTTGTGTCAAAGGCTCAGGCCAAATTGTCCCTCTTGATGCTCCAGTGTGTGAAACAGTGAATCAATGGCATGTAGTGGGGGAACCTGACATTTATGGGATTAAATTTTGAAAAAAATATTCTCCATTGCTCCAGCATAGCACATTTAGGGAAACTATTTCTGCACTTTTGAGGAGGTCTAGAAAACCCTGGACAGACAGGAGGTGACAGAAAAGGAAGTGTTCACCATCTCTCCAATGGAAGGGCTGGCAGGTGTCAAATGCAACAAAAAGGGAGGTCACTCAAAAGAAGCAGAGGGGATTGCTCTGCACATGCCTTGTTGGTAAGCTATGACTCATCACAGGACTTGTACTAAACATTTA